TATGTGGTTTTACCTAAGTGAAAACATCACATTATATATATTATTTTTAATTGAAAAATTTTTGAGATAATTGTAGAGTCAGTTGCAGTCATAAGTAATAATACAAGAGATATCCCTTATAAGCTTTGTCCAGTTCCTCCTGAACGTTCTGCTAAACTAACTATAGTATAATATCACAACCAGGACATTGATATTGATGCCATCCACCTATCTTATTCAGGGTATCCCAGTTTTTCTTGTACTCATTGTGTGTGGGCCTGTGTTTAGTTCTATACAATTTTAGCACGTGTAGGTTCTTGTTTCCACCACCACTGTCAGGATGCTGAACAGTTCCATCATCACAGGGGTCCCTCAGTGTTGCCTTTTACAACCACACCCACCTCCTTCCCTCCTTCCCCCACCCCATCCCAAACCGCCAGCAACCACTACTCTGTCCTCTGTTTTTAAAATGTTGTTATTTCAAAAATGTTATATCAATAGAATCATATAGTATGTAAACTTTTTTTCACTCAGCATATTTCCCAGGAGATTCATCCAAGTTGTTGCATGTATCAATCAATAGTTTAGTCCTTTTTATTGCTGAGTTGTATTCCATGGTATGGATGTACTACAGTTTGTTTAACTATCCACCTGCCTAAGGACATCTGGGCTGATTCCTATTTCTGGCTATTATCAATAAAGCTGTTATGGATATACATGTACAAGGTTTTTTTTTAAGATTTTATTTTTCCTTTTTCTCCCCAAAGCCCCCTGGTACATAGTTGTGTATTTTTAGTTGTGGGTCCTTCTAGTTGTGGCATGTGGGACGCTGCCTCAGCGTGGCTCAATGAACAGTGCCATGTCCGCGCCCAGGATCTGAACGGGCAAAACCCTGGGCCACCGAAGCAGAGTGTGCGAACCTAACCACTTGGCACGGGGCTGGCCCCATATGTGCAAGTTTTTATGTGAACATAAGTTTTCATTTCTCTGGGATAAATGCCCAAGAGTGCAATTCCTGGGTCATCTGCTAGTGGCGTGGTTAGTTTTCTAAGAAATTGCCCAGCTCTTTTCCAGAATGGCTGTGTTATTATTTTTTAAGGATTGGCGAGGAGGATTGTGTGCCCCAGGGAAAGATTAGATTGTGGGAGCCAGGTTCTGAAAAGGTGAGGGGATGGGCCCCATAGCTCCTGTGGAGGGGTTAGCTGGTCTTTCCTAAGGGAGGTGGGCACTTCTTGGAGCACCAGGAGTGGAGAGGTACAGGTGGGTGGAGAGGCAGATAGGTTTGCAGGTTGTGTTAGTTCCCCCTTGTTTCCATTTCCTCAGTAACATAAGAGGCCAGAGCAATATGTACATACATCAAATCATCATGTTGTACACCTAAAGCTAATACAATGTTATATGTCAATTATATTTCAATAAAACTGGAAAAAAAGAACTTCAGAGGCTAGGTCATCAGCTAAGTTGGGAGGAGTAGAGGTTTTGTAGAGAGAATAGGGATAGAAGTCATCTTAGAAAGTGGGAAAGCAATCTTATCAGAGACATGTAATAAGAATTCCCATGGGGCTGGCCCTGTGGCCGAGTGGTTAAGTTCGCGTGCTCTGCTTCGGTGGCTCAGGGTTTCGCCAGTTCGAATCCTGGGCATGGACATGGCACCGCTCATCAAGCCACGCTGAGGCAGCGTCCCACATGCCACAACTAGAAGGACCCACAACTAAAAATATACAACTATGTCCCGGGGTGTGTTGGGGAGAAAAAGGAAAAATAAAGTCTTAAAAAAAATAACAAACAAGAATTCCCAGGCAGTGTGGAGAGACTGCCTGAGGTGAGGTTCATGAACACAAGTGCGAATAACCTGCCTGGCAGTGTGAGTTTGCTCTAGCAAAAGCACTCAGACGGCATGTGGTGGATTTGACCAGAGGAGGGGTTTTGCCAGGCAAGCACCAAGTGAGGAGATGGGCCAAGAGAGTGGTTACAGTGATGGATGATGGAAATGATGCTAAAAAAGAAGGAACATGGAAACTGGAGCTAATGCATAGTGAAAAATTAGTGAGGTCAAGGGATCGGAGCTCATGATGAAGGTCAAAGAATTGTTGAGGGAGGCTCAATGAAGGAAAGATTGTGGTCGGAGAGTCTACATATTGGAAGTGGTATGGTTTTTGGTGAAAACCAAGTTGAAGGTGTGACTACAGATCAGGCAGCTGCTGTGGAGTGTGGCAAGTATCACTGGAGATAAGGAGGTCAAGGAAGTGAAAGGAAGATGTTGGAGAGGCCATCACTTGGATGTTGAACACAACAAATATAACAAAATTTTGGGTGGGGAGAAAGGCAGTGAGCCAAGAGCTAAATGATGTGCAGCAACCAGGAGGGTGATTGATGACATCAACCAAGATGGTTTGTCTAGATGACGAAGCTTCAAAGGAACAAGGAGGGAGGGGAAGCACTGGTTTAGAAATGGAATTGAGGGTGGGAGAGCAATCTTGTTACTCGCTTCCTGACCCCGAGGTACACAAGAGTAAGAGGAAAATAGAATTCATCTAAGAGGGCTGCTAAAGAAGTAGTGTCCTTAGGGGATGGCCAGGTTTCAGGTAAGGCAAAGAGGTGAAGACAGCATCCTGAGAAGAGGCTGAGGAAATGCAAGAATTTGCTGGTTACAGGTTGCAGAAGGCACAGGAGTAGGGCACAGCTGAGGGGAGTGAGCTGGGAGCCATTTGGGCGTATTGCCAGTGTGAGGACAAGGATGGAGGTGATACTGGATGAGAGGGAGCACAAACCTGTGGTGATGACTGAGGTAAATAGGGATAGGGGAATGATGGGATACAGCATTGTCCAGAACTTTGTGTTGATGGAAAATCCGTACTATGCAATACTGTAACCGCTAGTCACGTGTGGCTATTAAGCTCATGAAATGTGGCTAATGGGACTGAGGAACTGAATTTTTAACTTTATTTCATTCTAATTAATTTAAATCTAAAGCCACATTTGGCTGGTGGCTATTATATTGGACAGCACAGGCTAGAGGAAGGCAGCTCCCCATTTTTGTGACTTTTACACTTGCTGGCCAGGAGGCCATCAGGGTGGTCACTCCTTGAAATAGCAAGCAGTGGGAGAGCCCTTCTCACTCTTCCATCATGTGAATCCAGACAACTCTGGGTCCAAATTCCAACTCTACCACTGACTAGCTTTGAATTAGAGCAAATGAATTAACTTGCCTGGTGTATATAGGCCCTCAGTAAATATTAGTTGGCAAAAACCTCCCTGAGGTTTAATTCTTTTCATCTGTAAAATGCGAGAGGGGAGCTGTTGTAAAAATTAGTGCTTTAGCATGATGCTCATTAAATGGTCGCCATTATTGACATAGTGAGTTCTCAATATTTGTTGATTGATTGGTCAAAAACCGTCCTTCAGGCCAAAAGGTTACTTGTCCAGGGATGCACTGGCAGAAATGAGCCATCCCAGCTCCCTTTGAGAGCCAGGAGAATTGCCCAAGTCTCTGGACTATGAGATGGGGTGGATCAGGACTGGGTTTGATTGTTCAATTCTGCTATGTACTAATGTAAGAATATACCTGGTGTGAACTTGGAAGAGCAGGTACATATAGCCTAGGGGACTGGTGGGAAATTTAAGGTGAGCCAAAGTATAGGACCAGCCTTGTTTAAATATCTAGTGATAATCTGGGCAGTTCTGGTATCATTTACCACTTCAATTTTTGCTGAAAAAGCCTTAGTTTGGCCACTCCAAGCTTTTTTCCATCCCTGCATCCCCGTCATCTAAAAACCAAAAGCATGTTGTTTGTGAAATAGAGTAATGGTGTCCAAGATGGTTCTATTGAGGGATATTTGTGATTTGGGGCTATTATGAATTGGGGGTTATAGGGATCTCTGATCTGTGAAGCTGTCCCGAATTCCCTAGTTACTTTCTCTGTGGTTTCCTTCAGATCGAGCACTTACCTACCTCATATTGTGATGGCCTCTCTGTGTCTCTCCCTCTGACCAGATTGTGACACCCAAGGCAGGAACTTTGCATAGTTGATTATTAAGTATTCCTGGACTCTAGCACATGCCTGGAGCACATGGTAAGAAGCTGCTCAATAATTGTTTGTTGAATAAATGAATGAATGAGATTTGAGGTGACAGCACTCCCCTGTGATCTGAGATAATGTGACCTCTCTGGTTTGCAGTCTGGATTGACTATGAACAGAGAGTTGGGAGCTTTGATGATTGTGTGGAAGTGCCTGTGATGGTGGCCTGCAATGACTGTGATCTGAGGGGTCTGTGCACCAGTGATTATGACTTGTTGTCATTGATCTGTGATAATGACCAGCAGGGTTAGTGAACAGAAGTGACTTCGTGATTGTGATCTAAAGTGACTGTGAACAAGTTGGTGATGGTACTTTCCATCACTGCTGTCAGGTGACTGTGATCCTGACCCACAGAGATTTGGCTTCAGATGACTACCAGCCAGGGTCAGACGGTGACCATTGACCTGAGCTATGTTTTCAGGGAGCAGAGTGTTGATCTCAGCTGACAGCTGAGGTTATTGATCTGCATTATGAACTGAGGCAGCTGAGCTCTGTAGGCCTGGGCTCAGTCTGGGAATGGAGCTAATATGTGTGTAGTCAGTCCTCCTAGATTTCTGATTTTGTTTTGTTTAATAAAATATCCTCCCAGGGCCTACAAACGACACTTCCCTGCTCGGCCCCTCGCAAACGAGGAGTAGAGGCGAGGACTAGGTTGGGTCAATGCTCAGAAAACACTAAAAAGCATCTTCCGGGCCTTGAAGCTACGACCACGACCGCATTCACCCTTCACAACTCCACAACGGTACCCCCAACCTACGCTCCCGACCTTGGCTACCGGCACCAAGTGCGCCTGCGCGGAGGCGGGGAGGCGGGGAGGTGCTTTGCCCTTTGTTGTGGGCCCCAGTTTCCCAGGACACCGCGCGGCGCTGGGGTGGGGCTATGCAGATGAGGCACTCGGGGGGCGGGGCGGTTGCGGCGGCGTCGGCGGCGGCCGGGGAGGGTCAGTTGGAGGCAGGCGCTCGCTGAGGCAGGAGGAGGGCTCTGGGCCCGCGGCCTGACAGGGACTTAGCCCGCAGAGATCGGCCCCGCGCGCGCGCGACCCCACACCCACCCACTCATCCACCTACCCACTCCCTGCGCCGCCTCCTCCCACCCTGAGCAGAGCCGCCGAGGATGATAAACACCCAGGACAGGTAACGGCCCGGCCCAGGCTCCCCGCCCCCACCCGCCCCTCATCTGCTCCAGAGGGCCTCCTCCCCCATAATCCAGCGGGTCCCCGCCCCCCCAACGGGGCCCCATCTGCCCCCCCACTGGGTCCCTTCTCCACTTCTGCCACCTCAGTCGGATCCCCAGCCCCGCAATGAGGCCTCCTTCCGTCCTTTAGCCCCCTCCCTCTAGCCCGGCCCATCCCCCTCATCCGGGCCTCCTTCTCCGGTAAAGCCCGCACAAACCCGGACCCAACCTTACAATCAAGTCCCCATTTCCATTCGGCCCCGCCGAACGGTGCCCCATTCCCCAAACTGGGCTTTCTTCCTCATCCAGACTCTCCAGATTGTTTCCCATCTTCCCCAAATCTTTCTTCCTCTCCCTTTGAGTCACTTAACCCAATCTTTTGAATTCCTTCCCTAATTCAAACTGCACCCTCTGACCGGACCCCTCTCTTCTCACTGCTCCCGCCCCCCAGTCGGACTCCATCCTTCAGTTCTCAACTGAACCCTTTACCCCCACCCATTACCCTCTGCCGCTCTCCTCAGCCCTAATAGTCTTTACAGCGATGCCCAGCCGTCCCCTTGGTCTCTCACTCCAGCTTCATCTTTTCCCATCCCTCCTCCCTTGACACCGCTTTCCCAGTTCGGCCCCATTTTCCCTGACTCCCACCCTCATTCCTTTTATTTCTCGAACACGTTGAACTTGACTTCCGTCCTCCATCCTATTCCCATAATGGGGTTACCCCCAATACTCTTCTAAACACTCCTACCCTTTAAACACTTTCTCTCAACTGGAACTCATCTTTACTCTTACTCCTCCCATCTTAACTGAACCCCATCTTTAGATCATTAGATCACAGAACTCAGCCCACCCTGCTTCTACCGAAGGCCTGCCCTCTTTCCCTGAACCTCCGGTGCCTTCAAATCAGACCCCATACTCTAAACGCTGGGCCTTTGCAAGTTTCCTCCCTCAAAACCAGACCCCAGCCTTCCCCTGTTAATTGGAGAGAAAGGGTGCACATCTTTCTGAAACTGAGCACCAGTGGTTTTATAAACTGGCATCACTATACTTCCCCCTGGCCAAACTAGGCAGAATTCAGCATTTCAGTTTTCCTCTCTTCACCTCTCCTCTTTTTTTTTCCAAGGCAGCCCTTGTCATCTATCCCTCCCTCAAACATATCCCATATTTCTGCCCCAAAATCTTCTTTGAAACTGTTTCATAATTTCCTGATTCCCCACAATTTTTCACCGCAGTTGTTTCTTATACATCAGAATGGCTTCCATTTGCAATTTGGGTCTAATTCTCTTCCTCATTTTTTCCGTAGACTTGTTGCTGCCCCCGCCAAAATGAGTCTGAAGCTCGTTAGTTCCCCACACCAGACACTTTGTCCCCAGATTTGGCCTTATGGTCTCTTCCCCTCACTGGGGCCTCATTGTTTTGCAAGTAGATTGATTCCCTGCAAATCCTCCTTAAATTGTGCCGTGGCCTATCCAAAACTAGGCTTTAGTTCCTCTTGCCAACATAGCCTTCCTTATTGCTTTTCTTCACATAGGGCTCTAACTACCACTTAAGGTTCCTCTCAAACTTGGGCTCCCTCCTCACCAAAATGGTCTCTAACTTGCCATTTCCCAGTCCTTTAGCAGCACCATCCTTAAATAATCCAGCTAGGTTTTCAGCTTTTCTTGTATCTCAGTGTTTCTCAACCCTGGCTGCACATTTGAAAAATCACTCCCTGTACCCTACCTTCAAAGATCTGCTGTAATTGGCCGAGGGTGAGGCCTGATTATTGGTATATGTTTTTAAAGTTCCCTGGGTAATTCTTTCTAATGTTCAGACAGGGTTGAGAAGCACTGCCTCCTCTTACACCCCAGCCCCCAGAAAGCCCCTCCCATCATATTCCTTTAGTGGGTGTCAGCCTTTTCTCTACTGAAAAAGGCTTTTTCTTAGGGATTTCTTAGTCTTTTTCTCCTAGGTACTATCCAGAAACATCCAAAATACCCACCACAGCCTCTTAAATTCTCCTACCTCGAGTCACACAGTTCTCAGCTATTAGCCATTTTCTTCCCTTAATTCTCAGATTCTTATGTCTCCCATACTCCCATTTCTTCCCTACATGCAGAGAGAAAATTCACTTCTCATTTCCTGTTGTGTTATGGTTCTATTTGATCCATTATCCCCACCTCCCAAGCCCTCTTTACCTACAGTCCCATTCTGTTGTTACAGTTTCCTTTTCCGAGACTCTCCATATCCATTTCCCTTTGCAGTCCCCTCTTTTATTCCATCTTCTCTAACCCACCCCCTCTGGAGCTGAGAAGGTGGAGGTGGATGTATACTTGGATGGTGCTGGATGCAAAAGGTGTTAATTGTGAAGAAGGCTGTGTGCTGAGGGTAGACAACAGGTATGAGAGAGGGCAGGATGAAGTACAGGGGTGGAGGGAAGCAGAGGAACCTACTGAACAACCCATGAAAGGGGTATGTGAGATGGATTTTCTTTCCTCTTCTTATATTTTTGTCTCCTCAGTGGGGTTTGGAAGGTGATGTGGTCTCAGCAGGCATTTTCTGAAGTCCTCCAGACTGAACTGGTCTGGGTGCCAATTCCTTTGCCTGCTGAGCCCTGAGAGTTGAGCACTTGGGACGAACACATAAGGATCTTCGCTGACTGAGGTTGAGAGACCTGAGTTCTAGTTCTGGCTAGCCAGTGTGCTTACATGTAAAAAGAGGAGGTTGGGTTCGCCTAACTTGAAGATTCCTTCCAGCTTCCTAAGTGGCAAAACAGGCTTGCTTGTCTCCAGGGCCCTTGCTTAGGGTGTTGGTAATTTGAGGGGTTTGGCTGTATGAAAGGCAGGTGGAGGGAGGAGCCAGCTGGCTTGCCAGGGCCTGGGCAGGAGCAAGGACTTGGATCAGGCTCCTCCACTTTGGCCTGGGGGTGGGGTGGTGTGTGCAAGGTGTCTGGTTTCTTTGAGTTATGGCAATCCTTTTTCCATAGCATGTTTCCCAGCCTCCTCTGGCCTGCCCCTAACTTTCTAAAAGGAATCCTGGTAAAGCCGTAACTAGGGATCTGGATAACAGCCGGATATTCTTCCCAGTCAGTGTTCTCGGTGTTTTGTATCCGCCGAGGGGGTAAGCTGGCTGGGAGTTTAGCTCCCATTGGGTGGGGGATGGGCTTTCCAGCTTCCCTGGCTCCAGTGAAATACTCAAGAGGTGGAGGCTTGGTTTCCTGGAAGAAATAGTTGCAGAGGAGCCGGCAGTATGTTTTGAAAACAAGGCTCTTCCTTTCCAATTTTGTTCTGATTAGTACCTCCAAAATGTCAAAATTCCTGATGGTAGGTGAGGGAAGGAGACACAAGTTCAAGCACTTTTATTATGGGTTTTGAACATGAGGTTTAAATCCCAGGAAATGAAGCTTCACAATCTTTCTCTCCCTGGATTTGTTGGGGGAGGAAGACAGTCTCTGTCTAGGGCTTCCTCCGTACCTTGTGACAGTACAGCATATGGAGAAGAGCTCACCCTGGCTTGATAGCCACATGATAATCAATTTGTGTCTTATGGGCTTTGAGGAGAAGCATTTGGTTCTACAGGTGGTTTTTCTGGGGCGTGGGCAGGACACAAGAGCACATAAGAGCTACCCTGAGCATCTTCACTGACTCGTTCCCTGAATAATGGAATTTCTGTCTCCCAAAGAATTTGGTTTTGGTTATTCCTTATTTAATGGCACTATGGCTTGTTGGGGGTGGGGTGGTAGGGAGAGCAAGTTTTCCTGTCATGTGCCTTCAAGGCCATCCCACAGAGAGAAAGAGACTCCTACTGTAGTCAGGAATCCCCCCAAACTGGAGGTATGCTTCAGAAGAAAGCAGTGTGGACTAATAATAGTAATTCTTCACTCTGCCAAGAAATCTAAATTTAGCCTCAGAACTGCTCAGAAATATAAAAAAGGGGACTGAGGAGTGGGGTAGAGGGATGTTACATATGTGCATTTCTAGAAAAAAAAAGTAATTTATCCCTTGTTGAAACAGTACGTGGTGTTGATTCAAGTTGGTGCCATGATTTGGAAGGCTATGAAGCCTCATTGAAAGCTGTAGACCAGAAATGGCCAAGTAGGTGAGAAAGAATTTTGTTACTTGGAGTGAACAAAACAGGTAGTTTCCTATTAGCAACAGAAGAATTAAAACGCTTTGTACAAGATAAAACCTTATGAAAATTTCCTAGGCCTTTGATACTGTATAAACAATGAGGTAATTCTACCCTGGGAAGAGAGGCTGGACCTGGGTGATGAGCTTACTAACTAGCTTGCGGTACTTAAAATGTATCTAACGTGTAAAATTAAGGTCTTATTGTAAAGCATGATTACCTAGCTATCCACCCACCTCTGGTAGCACCGGTGGTTTTGCCTACCTTTGGTGGAAGATGTACCAATATCAGCTGTGTAATAAGATGAGCAAACCTCAGAGGCACAGATATTCTAGCTGCCAAGCTAAGTGTGTTTCTTGTGGAGAATCAACCAAAACCCAGTTTTGCTTTCAGTCTGTGATTCAAAGTGGTGATGTCATTTTCTTTATAATGTTGCTTAGCAAGTAGACTCCCTTTGGCACACAGAACAGCCCTAGTGAAATGTCTTATGCCTGGTATCTGACCAGGGCCCCTTTCCTGGGGAAATTGGCAGCTGGAAATCAGCTATGGTCACAACTAGACTGGAGGTGGCCATCACCTCCCACCTTTCTTCCTGTTTCTTTTTAGTTAAGTGTGATGGCAGCCCTGGATTGGTCCCTATTGGCATAGGGATTAGTCATCAGAGACCATCCTAGTCTCAGTAAAAGCAGTTTATGTGAGGGAAGTTTATGAGAGAGTGTTGTTTGAGGCAGGGCCTGAGACAGGAATGGGTCAGAAGTTGAAAAAGGGGGGTGAGATAGAATGTTTGGGAATGTGGTTTTTATCTTTTCACTTGATACCACGAGGTAGGTTATACTAAGGGCCTCTGACCAGGTAATGGAAATCAGAAAGGGTGCAGACTTGAACAAGCTCAGGCCGCTGATTCAAATGAAACATGATCAAAAGTATATCAAGGGGAATATGAATTCAGGTATTTGTTAGATGTAGCTGAATGCAAGTTAGTCACACAATTACTTTTTTAAAATTTAAAAAAATTTTTCCTTTCTCCCCAAGGCCCCCAGTGCATAGTTGTATATTTTTAGTTGTAAGTCCTTCTAGTTGTGACATGTGGGATGCCGCCTCAGCCCGGCCTGATGAGCAATGCCATGTCCGCGCCCAGCCTTCCCACGAGCGAAACCCTGGGCCACTGGAGCAGAGCGTGCGAACTTAACCACTTGGCCACGGGGCCGGCCCCCACAGAATTACTTTTATATTAAATCTCTACCCTGTGTAGTAGGCTATACCCTGCTTTGAGCAAACTAAATATAAAAATCAGAACTGACAAAGTCAACTGGAAGTGATTGTTTAACAGGAGATCCTTTATCAAGAGATTTGATATTACTTCCTTTAAATAGTAAGATCCCTAGAGATTTAAAAATAAGATTTGAATTATAAAAATTTGATTTACCAGGAACATTCCCCAGCAATATATCTGCTGCATACACTGCCTCTCTGTAGCCAGTGTATGAAATTATAACCTGCTAAGGGCATTTCAGACAAGTTTTTCAGAATGCTTTAAGTGAGAGGCCGCAGGACGTGATATGTCAGTGGCACTCATACGTATCCTTAGGAGTGCTTCCAAGGGAATGTCTGATAACAACTGAGAAAATAAAAGGCACTAACAGATCAGCTCTAATCTCCCATCTCTCTTCCGAATTAACTTGGATACCTGACGCCCTCATTTCCAGCATGCTGTATTTTTTTCTTCTCCTCTAACAGCAGGACCAGCCTAGCTGGATGTTTGGGTTTAGTCTGATAGATTTGATTCTCCTTAATCAGCCTGATCTTTTCAGCTTCTAGACTGAGCTGCTTAAATCATCCTTTTGGTGGTAGAGATTAAACCATGCCTGCCCCCCAGTGGAGAGTGAGCAGGAAAGGAAAAAGCTGGGCATTGGAGCCAGTAGAAACACGACTGAACTGAATATGAAACCTAACCTGGTTTGGATCTTGTGATAGGAAGACTTGTGTTTAGAAGCCACTTTCTCTGTGTTTAAGTTTCCTCTAGTATTCACTGTTGATGTTGGTGGCATATTTTGACATAATACCATTTTGTACACTAAAGCCAACACAAGAAGAGAAAGCCATTTCTGGACATTTTCATGTCCCTTGATTTCTTTAACCACCACATGGATGTACCCATCTGCCTTCCCTTCTCACTTCAGAAATAACAATTAGCAATTTCTTTTTTTGAAAGAGAAGCAATTTTCCATTCAGAGCATGTAACTAAAAACAGATCCATTTTATGATAGACGATGAAGATAATTATGGATTGTGATCTACTATCTACTAAGCTTATGCCAAACCCCAGCTGTTTCTCTTAGAGAGCTGGAACTGGATTCCATGGTGGGGGCCTGAAACACTCTTCCACCCCCACTCACACACACACTTGCTTTTTCGTGCAGACTTTGGTGGACGGGGAGGAGGAAAGTAGTCTCAAGATCCCTGTATGCGAGAGTGGGGAAGTGAATGATTTGTTACCGTGAAATAGCCTTCTTGCATTTATTTGAAGAGGAACGAGATCAGGACACGAGCAATATCAGGAGCTCATAGATTAGTGCTGGACACAGGGCAGGCTCTAGGGATTATTTCTGGGAAGACAAAGGGGATTCTGAATCTAAAAAAAGGAAACCTACCTCATTCTGATCTTTTCGATGGGTTGGCCCCATTGTTTCTGCCATTTCCAAGTAAAAATTAGCTCGGAATCAAGATAATGGTTGAAATGCAGGTCAGGGGTTGAATGTAGTTCTCCCATCTAAAGACTGTTGAGGAATCATTTCTCTGTAAGTAGGAGTCTGAAGTTTAAGTGAGTTAGCACCATAATTCTAGAACTGCAGGGGCCTTGGTGATTTGGTTGTTTTGTGAACCCATGCACTTCTCCTGGTATACAAAGCTACATCTCATCTATTTAGCCTAGAGGAGGTTTGCTCAGTTTTCTCCAGTGCCGCAGCCTTCCTGGTGCTCCAGCAGGAACCTCAACAGAGACCTGAAGTGGTCTCTAGGAAACAGGAAGGGAATCAGGTCATGTGGGGCATATGTGTGCCTTTGCTTGGGGAAGCCTCCACCCTTGTCATTTTTTTCTGGCCTGGACACTCTATTCTATTCCTTAACACATTGGAAGGGATCATTCCCCGCCGCCCCAGGAAATCAGTCTCATCCTTGAAAACAGTAGCGTAGTCCTCTGTCATGCCCCTTCTGCTAGTAGCTGTTGGTAAGGCCAAAAGTAGGCAGGCTGAGGATGCCCTGAGGCTTTCCAGAGGAGGCAGGAGGCAGGAGGCAGGAGGCGGCCTATGTGGTTATCACTCTCAGGCGCTGATGCTGCTCCAGGCCCACTGACACTGCCCTGGGAACTCCCATCTCCCAGTGAAATTTCCGTGTGTAATTTCAGGCCCCTAGTTGAAATCCTTGAGAGAAAGAGGAGCCGAGCTAGAGCAGTGATGGGTTTGGACTTCCTGTCTCAGCTGGAATGCTCATACAGGTTTCAGTACTCAGAGTTTTAGTGGGCTGCCCATTTGGTTATTGTACCATTGCCATGTTAGGTGTGAGTTCTGTTCTGTCACTCTGAACCTAAGTGAAGAACTCAAATCTGGCATGCCATGTCATATAAAGCAAAGGACAGTGTGAAGAATGGTGCCTCACGTTATTTTACAACTAGTTTTCAAGAAAAAAAGCCTTGATTTCTAGCATTTACTGATTTCTGTGGTGTAAATACTACCCCCTGGCTGATTCAAGCTACCAACATGACATCACTAAACACACAGTGGGGAAGAATGCACAGTTGTAGGAGCTGGCTCCAGCACATCAGTCCAACAGCCTCCCAAGTTATCCATTGCATTCCAGCTGCCCTGAGGCTGGCGTGTTGGGGCTGTAGGACAAGCCTATTGCTGAGTCATTGTGTACATGCACAGACAATTTACCTCTTTCCTCGTTTCACTTGCCCTCAGCCGGTGGAGTGAACTACATCTCAGCCTAGGGAGCCACTAAATTGGATTCAGAGAAGGCAGTGGAACAGGTTTGTTGGGTCCACCTAAAAATCATGGTGGCACTAAGGGCACACACCTGGAGGTGACAGGGAGCTGCTTTAGGAGCCTTTCATCCTCTGTAATTCATCTGATTATTGCCTTCCTTACTCAGGTCCCAGCATGTATAGCTCCTTCCAGCAAAGCCCCAACCTCCCTCCACCCCCCGCCAGTGCACATGCACCTGAGTGTCCATTCTGACCACAGCAGTATTACCTAAACTCCCATGCCTAGATCATATTCTAGCAAAGGGCAAGGAGGCCCAGCATTTGGTGGCACACCATGGACAAACTCTGACACCATAATACTCTACTATAGTGCACCTCCTTTCTGGCAGCTAAATCCCTGGATTTAATTCAGTTCTTGACTCTAGAGGGATCTGGGTGATTTCTTGTCCAGTTCCTTTGTTGATCAGGGAGAAGGCCATCATTGGAAAAGTTATCTTGGGAGTTTCTTAGGGACTCAGTATCCAGCCCACATGACTTCCTGAGGCCCATATGCCTGTCCAGCATGAAATGATTGTGTAGGCTTTGCAATTCTGCCACATTGGTATTGAGGCACTGTTGGGGTAAAGGTGTTGGTGGGGGTACAGGGCTCCAGGCCAAGCAGGCAGGCCAGGATCTGGTTCCTCCCATGGTCTGCCAGCACTACAGAGATATGTTTGATGTTTGACAGGTGCTCCTTTGGTCAGACATGTCCACCTGGAATCCCTTGGCCCTTCTGGGACTCCCTATGCGTCTGTAGGATGGTGGGTTCCTGCCCTTTAAGAGAACAGTAGTTCTGAAAGCTGAAGCTGAAAGGACTGGGGCAGTGTTGGAGCCTTAGAGCATTTGTTAGGGAGAGCCAGGGCAGGGGTTGGGGTGGATGTGGAGTTCAGTCTTCAAGTCTTGGTGTTTACTGTCTCACCTTCTCTGTTTCTTGCAGTAGTATTTTGCCTTTGAGTAACTGTCCCCAGCTCCAGTGCTGCAGGCACATTGTTCCAGGGCCTCTGTGGTGCTCCTGATGCCCCTCACCCACTGTCGAAGATCCCCGGTGGGCGAGGGGGCGGCAGGGATCCTTCTCTCTCAGCTCTAATATATAAGGTAAGGAGGACTCTGGGGTGGAAGGCTTGGAGCAGTGTGTTCTCACACTGCACTGAACTGCTGTTGAAGGGCAGTAATCACTTTCTTTAGTTTTCTCTTAGGCCAGGCCAGTAGGGGGATTGGGAAGGACTCTTTCAACTCGGGCTGCTCTGTGGCTTTTGGAGAGAACTAGAAGGAAGTTATCAGCACCAAGCAAACACTCTGCCATCTTCGCACTTTAGGGTCCTGAGTGGGAGGGAGGATGGTGAATGGGAGGGGTGCGAGAGCTCTTTCTGGTGCTGCTCCTCAGTTTCTCTTGAGAAATACCAAGGGCCAGGAGGAGCAGTTTTCCCATTGTCCTTGACCCTTGGGCATTCTGATTTCTCTCCCTTACCAGCTTGATGGAGGTGGGGCAGGGTCATGTGGAGGTGAGTGGTAAGCAGACAGGGGCCTTGCATCTCAGTCACCTGTCACACTGGCAGCATAAGGCACAATCCAGGAACTGTAGAGAACCCTGGGAATCTACGCGGAGAGTGATCTGGGCCGGGGTGGGCAACCAGCCCTTTGCTGCCTTTTAATCTCTGTGATTGAGGCCCAGAAGATGGTTTAGCTTCTCCCTAAGACTGGCCTTGATGGGTAGCAGGGTGGCTGAGTTCTGGTCTCTTGAGATTGTGCCCAAGGGAGACAACATGGACCCTGCAGTCTCCCTGGAAGCCAGCTTTGGTTGATCTGGGCACACACATCCTCATTTGTTTCTAAAGTTTCCTTTTCAGAGAGGGAAGGGAAGGAGTGTGGTGTTGGGGGGAAAAGGATGGGCTTGTGAGTCAGGGAGATCTTGTTTGAATCTCAACTCTGCTGTTTACTAGCTGTGGAACCTTGGGTCAGTTGCTTAATTGTTCTGGGCCCCTAGTATGTCGGATTTAAAATTGGAGATATTAATGCCTACCGCAAGTGCTTGTTTTGATGATTGAAAAATGGGAAAGCATCTTGCACAGTATGTGGCACTTAGTGGACACTTGGTAAATATTTCCCTTCCCATCATGCTGGATTTTAGCCGACATCAACTGGTCTTAGTGCCCGAGGAGTAGTGATGGCTCCATTTAGCCTGCATGCAGTTCTACATTTTTAGCATGCCCTCTATCCTGTGCTACCCTGAGATTGGCCCAAGGGGACTCCCAGCACCACCTAGGTTAGGGAGCCTATGACATGGCCAGAAGCAGAAGTGACCTGGTCCTCTGATGTGATCTCCTCCCAGGACGAGAAGCTCACTGTGACCCAGGACCTCCCTGTGAACGATGGAAAACCTCACATCGTCCACTTCCAGTATGAGGTCACCGAGGTGAAGGTCTCTTCCTGGGATGCAGTCCTGTCCAGCCAGAGCCTGTTTATAGAAATCCCAGATGGATTATTAGCTGATGGGAGCAAAGAAGGGTAAGGAGCAAGTGCTGGGGAAGGGGAAGGAGTAAACGGGGAAGGAGGTCCCATTCCACAGAAGGGCATAGGCTTACTGGGGCTAACAGATGAGTAGGGAGTCTGCCTTTTCCCCTAGCTCTAGACTTCCCAAGTAGATACCATTTTGTAACCTGTTATTTTTAGCCAGTAAAACAGGCCTGCTCCAGGTTATAATTAAAGCAGATCATTATCACATTAACCAAATCCCTGTCATTTAATGGCCCCATGGTTCACTCTTCTCAGCAGACGTTAAATCCCGCTTGAGCCGCCATACAGTGCTGCTGTTCAGAAGGCCAGGAAGCTCAGAGATACAGTGGGATTTCACTGGATTGGGCAAGGCCCTCCAAGCAGCCAGGTTTGGAGGAAACAGTCCTGAGGACGGAGTTCTCTTGAGTGGCCCCAGCCTCGTGAGGAAATCCTTTTAGGCAGAGTTAGGGCCCAGAGTCCCTCTCAGTGGCAGGTTCTCATTATCAAACTTGACAACTTTGGAAGATCCCTGAAAAACTAGTTCTCTTCCTAGGCCCCATACTGTCGTGTGAACTGCATTAAGTTGGTTAGTGTTAACTTCAGATGAAGAACCCCTATTCCAGGAAGAGATAATTCAATAACATTTTTCTTTGGAATTGTGGCTTTTTTCCTCCTAAACTCAGGGCTCCTGGTGTCTTGAAGAACTGTCTCCCTGGAGCTTCCCTATTTATAATGCTGGCTGTAAGCCTCAGAAAAGCCCTTTTTTGGGGTGGGTGGGAAGTCTAGAGAAATGGTGGTGGGCCTGAGTGCTTTTCTTTGTTTCTTGCAGATTGTTAGCACTGCTAGAGTTTGCTGAAGAGAAGATGAAAGTGAACTATGTCTTCATCTGCTTCAGGAAGGGGCGGGAAGACAGAGGTGAGGAGTCAAAGCAGCCTGAAGCCTACTGCCCAGACGATGGGAGACTGGGGAGGGGAGAAGGGGGCTCCTAGGCAGTGGGGGTGGGGCTCTTGAGCTTGCCATACAAACCCTGGGAATTCATGGGGGTGGGAGTGCCCAAAGGTCCTTTAGTAAAGGCCTAGTGCTTAGTTATTCCATCTTTGTTTCGGGTTTTCCCTCCATTTGAGCCTACCCTTGTGTTTCTTATCAGAATCCTTTTTATACTCTTATCTTCCTCAGCTCCACTCCTGAAGACCTTCAGCTTCTTGGGCTTTGAGATTGTGCGTCCAGGCCATCCCTGTGTCCCCTCTCGGCCAGATGTGATGTTCATGGTTTACTCCCTGGACCAGAACTTGTCCGATGAGGACTAACGGTCATAAAGGATGCTTTGCCCAAGAGCCACAGTGGGGGAAGAGGGGAAGTTAGGCAGCCCTGGGACAGAGGAGGGGGCTCCTTGCTGTCTAGAAAAGGACGCTGAGGGGCTCAGGGTGAAGGTTGCCTATTGTGTTCTTGGAGTTGACTCGTTGAAATTGTTTTCCATAAAGAACAGTATAAACATATTATTCACATGTAATCACCAATAGTAAATGAAGATGTTTATGAACTGGCATTAGAAGCTTTTTAAACTGCGCTGTGTGATGTGCTCTATCTAGCCTAGGGGAGGACATTGCCTAGATGGGGAGGGACTGTCTGGGTCCAGGGGCGAGGCCTGGAGGGCTGTTGGGCAGCACTGTCAGGCTCAGGTTCCCCTGCTGTTGGGCTTTTTTTTTCGGTTTTTAAGACTTGTGTATTTTCTTTCCTTGCTTCCTGTCACCCCCCCAAGGGTTTCTGAGTATAGGCTTTTCAGCCCCGGGGCAGTGTCCTTGAAGTGTTTTTTTGACACTCCACCGGGGCTTCTCTGTGTGCATTATGTGTCTGGCCTGGTGAAAGCAGGTCTGACCCCTCCTTCTTTAGAGCTTAATGTTATTCTGGCATTTGGTTAAGCTGGCTTAATCTGTTTAATGTTATCAGTGCATTTTAAATAGGGGCACTAAAGTTCACTCCCACCACCAGGGCTTTTTTTGGGGTGCCTGGGCCTTAAAAATAAGTAGCCAACTCCAATTCTCAAATCAAAGCCAGAAGTTCTTGCTCCTGGTTGCAGGCCCAGGCCACAAGGTGTCTCCTTCCTAGGGTCGCAAAGAACAGAGCAAGAAAAATAGCAACTCAGGGCCTGGGAGTTGTGGGGGAATCTGTTGCCTGGCTGAGTATAGTGCTAACTGCCCCCCTCCCTCTCTAACAGGTTCTGAGTAGGGCCTGAGACCCTGTTCCACAGGGCTTAGGGGTGGGACCGGGGGGTGTAGAAGTGGCCTGCCCTTTTCTGTTTTCACTGAACAGCTTGTTCTAAGGGGGGGAGGAAGAGGGAGAGATCTAGATTGGGTGAGGGGGGTGGGAGTGTCAGGGAGGCAAATGTGTTGTGTTATTGTGTCAATAAACTGATTTAAAGTTGTGGTGGTTCTGCTCTTTATTCCTGTAACAGGATCAGCTTCCTACCACCACAAGTCTATAGCTTAACCTAGTAGGGGTGTGAAACATGGTTCTTAGGAAAAAAGCTGCAGTGCATCAGGACAGATCAACTGGCTGAGGTCTCTGGGGCCACATTACATTGCAACATGTGGGGTTGCTAGCTGTCTGGGAGACACTGCCAGAGCCCCATAGAGAGACAGGTCTGTACACATCAGCTTCATCCAGAATAAAGGCTATATTCAGGATTCAAGCCGTTCTTAGTTCTTCCTTTCATATAGAAGGCTGGGTCCTGAAACTGGGTTTTGGCTTTCACATGGAGCTGCCTGACATTCCCGTTCCTGGAGGCGTCTGAAGGAGGTAGCACACACCTTCCCTAGGAAGACAGTCTTCTCCGTTTGGAGCCCAGTGCCCTCAGGTATGGCTGCTGTTCCCCTGTGCCACCAGTCTGATGAATAAGCTCTCAGTGGCACTAGAGGGGGCTAGAATCTTACGTTCTTTTTTAATTTCTCACAAGCTTACTAGCATTTTTTTCCCTTTTGCTTCTGTTTTCCCAAGTAAAGTGCTGGGCATGTTCTTCCACCTCCCACAGCCTTGGAACTATCTACTGTTAAGCTGTGGCAGTCCTTTGTTTCTCTGGGTCTTTGGCCCATTTTTACATTGTCCTGTATGGAGCTTAGTTGTGTTTTCATGCTGAGCCAACTTGTTACCCTTGGACTTTACCTGGTATTCATTAGAAGATGTAAACTCCGCTCTTCCACCCCTCACAGTACTAGGAGAAGGTCTGAGCCTAGAGATACTCAATTGAAATAACGGCTTGAAGATGTCCTCCACTGAGCAGATAACCCATAGAGGCAGCATAAAGGCAGTGACTGAAAAATGGTCACTATAGTGAGAGATTTGCCACCGAGATCCATGTGGATGCTGACAATGGCCAAGTTAATGTAGGCAGTTTAGGATTCAGATGTTAAACTCAAACCCAAAGAATATACAAGACAAGGGTAAAGAACCAAGATAAAACTCAGTCCTTTAATTGTCCTCAAAGCTGGCGGAGTGGACAGGAAACACACCTGAGATTCTGCTGCCATCTGCTGGTGGGTCCTCTTTAATACAGTCGGAGTTAGAAGGACTAAATTGGAAACCCAGGTACAGTTAAGATTTCCCTTGCAAAAAGAAAAACTTTTGCTAGATAAGACCACTGACAGAAAAGAAACATGGTACCCAAAAGTTGCATTCCAATTAAAAAAGCAACTTAGAAGGTGGACTATTTTGAGGGGTGGTGGATGGGACAAGGGAGATATGTGAAAGGCAAACTAAGTCTAAATTTAAGAACAGGGACGTTAAAAACTTTATTCAATAAATACAACAAATAATTTAAAAATATACTTCAATTCCAAAGCCAATTAAGAAAAAGAAGTAGCAAGAAGGTGGGGGGAAAAGGGAGAGGAGGAAATCAGAGGAAAAGGAGAACGTTCAAGAGGCCAAACAATGGTTTGGTTGGGCTGTGTTTCAGAATGTACCACCCTTTGAAATTCTGATCAAATGCTCTTGACCCATAAAGCCTTAGCCCTTGTTCTGAGGGGGCAAGCCATAGGAGTCTACTAGCCAGGAATGATTCTCTGGGCTCTGGAATATGGGGGGGAGTGTTAGGGGGTAGTTTCCCAGTCATTGCTAAAAACCATCTGTTCTAACTCCCTAGGCAGGTTTAAGTAGTGCAAATTCTTAGGCAGAGAGCTCCCATCTGCATAGTTTCATAGGTGTGTCCAAAGCCAGGGCCTCCAGGAGACAGGCCCCAGAGTACCCAGGGGTCCAAAGCCACTTTGGTGAACAGGATCTAAGGGGGAAGATAGGAGAGGCCAGGGCACAGGATAAAGCTCCTGGATAAGCCGCTTAGTGGCCAAGCTGGAAAACACTGCTGGGCAGGAAAGGGCTGCAGGGCAGTTAGTCTGGACATTGGATTCAACAGCTTGCCATCAGCCAAGGAAAGTGGAGCTGAGGATGCATATGGAGCAGGCCCAGGAAGATCAGGAAGCTGAGGGAGAACGGAAAAGTGGAGAGGAAGGAGGAGGCAGCTCAGCAGCAAACTCCAGGAGAAATAACCAGCAGCCCTCACAGATTTGTGATTGTCTCTTAAAAAGATTTATTTTCTCTTCTTGCCTGAATGTACAAAGGCAAAAAGAGTACAGTTTGTATATATATATATTTATATATATATATAAAAAAACAAGGAACTTGGTAATGTACATTTTACAGAAGGGAAGAATTAGGAAGACTGAAATTAAATCCAAATCCAACAGAGCAACGCCAATGGAACAAAAGCTATGAACAGCAACACTGCCCCTCCAGCCCGGGCCTCCAGCTCGCCCCAACCTGCTCCCAATGGGGGGCTGAGCACCAAGGCAAGCGGGTGGGCTGGGGCAGGAGGGGCTGGGGATGGGGCCTGGGAGGGGCTCAATCCCAGGAGGGGCCCATGGCAGAGGATCAGCAGAAAGCTTCCTGGGATGCCCTAGTAATAAAACAAATGACAAAGGCCCAGAATCATGGGGCCAACTAGCTGCCCAGTTGAATCTTGGGGGCATCAGAGTAGACACTGAGATGGTGATAGGGTATATGGGATAATAAGTGATATGGGTGACCTCAAAGCCTGTATAACAATAACTCTCTAGCCCTTCTGCAGTCTTACCCTCCCACCTCATCTTGGAGCCGGGAGAGAAGAGATTCAAGAATCACCATTTCATTTCATGGAGTGCCCTCTTAACCCTTCTGCATGTGGTCCTTTGACCTTGAGATGTGTGGAGAGGGTGAGGTAAGAGAAAGAAATTTCATACACGTACACATACATGTACAGGCAGGGAAAGGGGATGAAGGGAACTGGCACACCTTAAATAAGGAAGAAGCAGATGTAAATCCTAAAGATCAGCTCTCCAAGGCTTGGCTATCCTACCTGGGGATGAGGCTCTTTCCCTCTAGCTTGTCTCTGGGGAGCCCCAATGAACAATGTCTATGTAGAGGCTTGGGGTGGCTCAGAGAGAGTCTTGGTCTGGTGGTCTGAGCCCCTAGCAGCAGACTTTTCCAGCCTTTGCTTCGGGGTGGGGCGGGGGTGTGGGAATCCTTGCTGAATGTCTCATCCTTTGGACCAGGTCATGCGTGCCACAGGTACCCCCAACTGTGTTTCCTCCCCACATAGAGAGGCTGGAAGTGGACAGCAAATCTTTCACTCAGCACTCATCAAGGATTTCTATTTCTTCAGTTGCTGCTGCCGCTGCTTCGTGTTATTTCAGGGAGGGAAGATTGGACCCAGCAAGGATTGGGGACCAGGAGGATCAGGGATCAGGAAAAGGCAGGCCATCCTGCCACTGTTGCTTTCACCTGCTCCTTTGGGCAGCTCAGCTCCTACTCTTCAAGGGAGACTGGATATAAGGATCAAAGAGCCAAATGCTTTTTAAGGAAAAGAAACAAAGAAAGAGCTGTTCCCATCTGCAGAACCCAAGGCTGCCCTGCTAATGCAGAAATTCCTCTTCTCTGTGTTACAGAACAAAGCAGAAAGGGCAGGAATGCCAGGCCATGCCTACCCAATGGGAAAGAAAATTACTCCAAACAGTTTCTTTACAATATGTACAGAGCACGCTATAAGCCAGTGCCACAGATACAAAACACACAACAATATTTAAAAACAAACAGGAACAGAGATGGGCCCTTGGCTCTACCTGACAGGAGCCTGGGAGGGCATAATCAGACTGAAATTCAGAGTCATCCTCTTGGTGGGGTGATTCAGGTTAGGTGGGGTGAAGGTATCCACACCATCTACTTCCATGGATGAAAGGGAAGTCACTGCTCAGAACACTGCCCACTGGGGCAGGAGGGGGCAGAGGGCATGATGGGGGAAAGGGATGCTCCTTGGGTG